GCCATGTTTCTTTTCTTTTTTTTTTTTTTTTTTTTTTTTTTTTTTTTTTTTTTTGGTGGTAAACTGCTCCTAGTAAAATGATATGGGCAATATCATTATACAGGGAAGTGACAGGCTAAGTGAGATGCTGTCTGTCACGATTCACAGCATACCTTCAAGGAGGCATGGACCATCGATGCCTGTAACCAAATTCTGCCACATTATGCACTTGGAAGACATTGCTAGACAATAGCAACACCATTACCTCACTAGGGCACCCAACAATTTATGGAACAGTCAACAATTTTTCCCAAACATGTTTAAAAGTTTTTAACTTCTCTGTGAGGCTTTCAAAGAAATAAGAACAGTCTGATAGAGATTCCTCCCTGATGTGTTCTGGGACAAATGTTAACATTGTTTGCTATTGAGAGCAACTTTACAGTGCAGTGATTTCCCGAGGGCTCTGGTGATCTGTAGCCACACTACAGGTTACACAGCATAAATGAATGACAAAATCTTATCACAAATTGCTTCTAATTCTGGAAAAAAAAAAAAAAAAAAAGAAAAAGAAAAGCACAAAAAAACACGATGGCCAGAAATGGTCCATAAAACCATTTTGCCAATAATAAAACCCTTTCGCCAGTAATTTTGCTAAAGGATATAAAAGTCTGAAGTTTAAAGAAAAAAAATTAATAAAATACTAAAAAAAAAAATACAAATCTGAAAAGTTTTTTTCTTTTGAAAGAAAAGTTTTCACTTTCACTTTCATTTGGCACTTGTTGACAATTAAAAAGGATAATTAAACAGAAAGTTTTGCAATATAGTATGTAATTTTAAATACCTTGTTTTCCTATTTAATTAGTAAAAGACGTATAATTTTGATTTGGTTAAAATAAAAAAAACTCACAAGATTTTGGTTTGATACTCCTATTAAAAATAATCACGTGCATTTTTAAAGGATCAATGCCAAGTTAAATTTGTTACAAAGCTGAAATAATGCTTCTCTCACATACTATATTAATTTTTAATTTCATAGGGGAAAAAAAGGCCTTGTGAAATATTCCACACACACATACACAAAAAATACACATAAACTTGAATGGTGCCAAAGGAGTTGCTGTAATAGGGATAGTTAAAATGGAAGTAGAAGGAAGTGTAGTGAAAAAGAAAGACAGTCTCAGCTTTCAACTGATTTAAAATATTCAAGTTTATTTTAAACTAAATAGTAGCCAGGAGCTTTTTTTTTTTTTTTTTTTTTTTTTTTTTTACTGTTTCAGTTAGTGAAGATATTGAATTTTTGACGTCAGTTATGGATCTTTCTTCTGGTACACTTCCCTTTGAAATATTAAAAAGGAAAGTCTGGAATACTATCTACTCTCTGTTCAAAATCCTTCTTAATCTCTTATCAATGCAACAATTTTAACATTGAAAAATTTAGGCACTTCTGCTGCTCTTTTGAAACCTTGTACACAAAAATAGGCAAAAAAACCCACAATCTTTCTTTTTAGCAAGGTTCAAAGGAGACTTGCTACACTGCCTCTTCTAGAGGGTCTTATACTTGTGTATATTTGATTTTCCTATTGCTTCTATTGAAATACATATTTTTCTTTAGGTATACACTAACAATGTCTGTACAGGAAATCCTCTACTACAGCGTGTGGTTCTTAGCTACCTCTAATAAACAAATATGCAACCATCACTCACCCCAGAAGATGGGAGAGGGCTCTCATCCTCAAGGAGTCTCCTGAGGCAGTTCTTGTCCCGAGCGGAGCAGAGGGGGATCAGCCTATCAACCAATCCCAGAAGTTACAATGAAATCTTTACTCCTCCAATCTCCTCTCCTTAGTTTAACTCCGGTCCTTAGTTTAACTTTTATATTCTTTTTAAATTTAGGTAGAGCTCGAGTGACTGTAGCCATACTTACTACTGCTATTAATTGATGAAAAAGTCTCTTGCTTTCCTTTAAAGGCATAGTCAATCAAAAATTGAAGCACATGTTCAGTGAGGAGTGGTCATACCTCGGAGGAGGGTAACTTTTGGGAAGGAGCTGTGTGCTGGCATTATAAGGAGCTTATAATGAGTAAAGTTCAAGCAAAGTTCATCTGAAAGGAGTGATTTGCCACCCTCGCTGGCTCAGTCCCGAACATCTTATCATATATCTCCTGTTGGGACTGTGCCGCTTATCAGCAGCACAGCACAGGGAGTACAACAGAGATTGGCCACAGTATCTTCACTCCACTMCACCCTCCATTACTCCTCTTTGCAGCTACCAGGAGGGCAGATTATGTGGCGTAGGGAAGTGGAAGAGCAGAGTCTGTGTGAACCAGAGCATCCTGGAATTGACAACTGTGTACCACCCCAAGCAAGCTTCTGTAATGCCATAACAGAACGACCCATARCAGGGACAAACAGAATTATGTTAGGCCCTAGTTTTCCTCTAAGTTACCCCTTTTCAAGCAATTCTTCCACAGCTCCCATAAATGCAATTTGCTTATACTCAATTTTCTTTTAAGAGTGGCATATATGTGCTAAGCATGTATGTGAAATCTGGTCAGAATATGTCTGGTAGATTATATTGGATTAAACTCCTCGTTGTAGAAAATAAAACTAAATTAGATTAAAATAATATTTGAAATTTCGTCAAAAGTAACCAATTATTCAATCCAAATATACATATACAAATGCATTTATTTGGTAGTTCAGCTATGCAGAGACAAGCCTGTATTGAGAACTGCTTAATTTCTGTGAACTAGGAAAAATCTCCTATCATCATGAATGATTTTATTCCAGTCACTTGAAAGTATTTTATTTCCTGTCCATAAATTTTAATGGAAATTTTGATTACCATTTTTTCTGATAAATTGCTTAGACATGGAATCATGGATAGTCAGCTGCTGTTTTATTCTATACATATTATTCACCCYAGTGCATCAATTTATGGTTATTTCAAAGTAAAGAACATTCAAAAAATCCTCTAAATATTTTATTATTCTCCCTTTACTTGCATACCACTTTTTGAATGGCTTTATTGTGCTTTGATTTGGCTTTCATGATTTTATCATTAAGTGTTTTTTGGGATTTTTTTTTTTTTTTTTGAATAGCATAGCCATTTTTAACTTGTGTTTATGGCTAGTTGTTTTCTGTCATATATTGTTTGAAGAAGACCTCTCAACATGTAAATTGCAGTTTCACACTATTGACCTCTTTAAAGTCAAAGAAGGAAAGTTTCTAGATAAGTTTGACAGTTAGCCTAGCAAAAGAAATACACAATTCATAAATACAAAGTATTTTGTTACTATGAGTATGCAAGAGACCTGTAAGTAGACTTCATCTCTAGCAGGATGTAATATTAGTTCAAAGATTTGTTTCTCCTGATGATAAATGTTTTAATTTCCAAATATTTTCCACTCATCTTTTTGCATTTGCATGCCTCACGTAAACAGTCTAAATCTTCTGATATTTGCCATTGTCCCAGCACACTCCTTTAAGTTTGCTTGTTTGTTTTCACCTGTGTTTTTCTCTGTTGTGTTTTTCTAGAGAATGTAATCACATATTCTCTCAGCTTTTGCTTTGTCAGTTTAAACAAGTTCTTCAGGTCTCAGTAATGATAGCATAACAAGGCTAATGTCATACTAGTGTGTCTTACAAAATCTGCCATAARCTAAAACTGTTGTAATTTAAATAATTTGCTTATTATATATGATGTTATTGATGAGGTCTTACTGATGTGGTCCTACATGTAGTTTTTTCCATGTCACTTACTGTTTTCATGACGTTAATTCTTATTACGTTACAATTTTTATTATTCTTATTCTTATCTACTGTAGATCAATTCAAAACAAATATGTTCCTGGGTAATAACACCAGGGGACTTAATTGATGGATTCTATGGGCAATGTCAACTAGGAAATTTGTGTAGCTTCTTTAGAGAAAAATCTATTTTGATTGACACTAGCTGAGCATCTGCCCTTTTGCTTCAGTATATGTCTAAGGATTCTAAGCCATCTAAGGACTGACATGTCTCTGGAAACAAAGATGTCAAGATTGTTTTTCTGATATTATATCTACTATGCTGATATCATTATAAGATTTTCCAAAGTTCGTTTTTCATCCCTTATAAAGCACCACACAGAATTGTATGTTTTCTGTGTAGGTAGCAAACTTCATTTTTGAACAGAGGGACAAGAGGAGGAAATCAMTGTCTAAGTGTAATAGCACCTTTGGGCTAGTAATACATATAACAGTATAAAATTTTTGATCATAACTATTGGCCCCAGAAATACATTCTGTAGTGAATGAACTGAGAGAGAGTTCAAAAAAAAAAAAAATTGGAAGAGAAGCTGATTTCTTCCAATTTTATCAGACATTGTCATAGTGTTCATCTGATCATAATCATAATCAACATCATGTTTCCCATAACTGGAGCTCTGACTATTCCCTTCTACTGGCAACAGTACACCCCACATTAATGAGCACTTGCAAGCAGAATAATTAAATCATCTTTGTTTATCACAAAAAAAAGTTACTGAAAGAAGCTCCTGTTTAATTTGTTGTCATGAGACATAAATGCAGTTTTAAAGATCATGAAGTAAAACAAATAACAGAAATAAAACTTGTATCTTAATTTTATGATGCAGTTATGAATTATGCTCTTTCTGCATCTGTAGCACAGAAGAAATAAAGACTTAATTTTAAGCTTTTTTTCCATTAAAAGAACATATCTTGCTTTCAAACCCAGTATTTTATATAGCAAAGGATGGCCCTTTAGCAATTTAAACTGTATAATCTATTAAACTGTATGAGAATGGACTCTAAGTAGAAGAAATCTGCCGCGATTGAGAGACGGGACATAGCTTGATGCAAGCAAAGTGTCGATTTTATTGTTRTTGCACACATGTTTTATATAAATCAGAAGGTAGCGTGTCTTACGCAGATTGGGTGCTTCTTCAAATCAGGCACTCCTTGATTGGTTAAATGCAAAAGCAGCTACAAGCAGGTTATAAAAAATAATGAGCAACAAATTAAGTCCTATCGGCAGACTTAAAGCAGACTAAGTTTATCTACAACCTTGAAACAATACTCCCTTCTACAACTGCCTTTAGTCAGGACGACCCAGGCTTATCTTGTCTTTCCCAGGGCTTATGGCTGACAAGTTCCAGCACATCTTGCTCCAACAAYGGCACTATGCTTGAGGCCCTCTCAAGGTTGGTCRAGTCCTGGCCCACATCTCCCCCTTCCTGTTGCACAACAAGAACCCTCCAGTTCTCTTAGAAAGATTCACTAGCTTGCTGCTCAGGAGGTCTGTCTTGGGMGTGGTCCAGTTCATTGTCCGATGATCGTGGTAATGATTCACGGAAAGGCCGCACACTTTTTGCTGGAATCCATCGAGGGCCTTTTTCTGTGGAAACACAAGCATAACCGCTCCCCCAAGTGATGAGGGGATATGGTCCCAGGATCTTACATGTTTCGGGATCTCATACGAGCACCGGAGCTTTAATTTGTGCTTCAAGTGAAGAATTTGCATTAAAATGTCGAACTATCRGGGGATTATTATCTATTAAAGAACAATTCAAAAAGTTAAAAACATATAAGGCTTTCTGTAGACATTCCTCAGGGGTAGCAGTCCCTACTCCTCCTTTCTGTTTTTAGCATAGTTTTCAGGGTGCCATGGGCACACTCAACAATGGCTTGGCCCATTATCTGTTTTAACCTGGGTAGGTACCCCTAGCATGGTAGTTTCAATCATTCTACATAGCAATGCAATTACACAAGGAATACAACCTGTAATACAAATGAACACYATAAGCAAGAAAAACARTTCTAGCAACAGCTTTTGTAACCAAAGCGATGCCCATTTGCACTGTGCAAATGGGTCCCAGTTGTCATCAATCTGTTGTTCAGCTTCGTCTTCAAGATCCAAGTCTGTTCATTTTTCAGCAATCTCACAAAATTACTTGAAAAAGTAGGGGGATCCTCAGCCTTAACTTGTACAACTTGATATAGTTTTACAACAGGTCCAAGCACTGCRTGCTTTACTCCATGTAATATTAACTGCTGATATTGTTTAAACATCAACTTACGCACCCCCATATTTGATCCCAGTCTCATCAATCCCCTTTTTTCCCAGTAGACCAACAATTGCACATCTTCTTCCTCATCATCCACTTACAAATAGTCTTTCAAACATTTTTCTCTGTACTGCAAGCCAAACAAAACTGAGATACCTTCTTTTTGTCCTCCACAATCATTCAAATCAGTTACCAAAAATCACATTTCCTTCTAACATCTTCAAATCAAATACCATCTATTTACATTTCTTTCTTAATTTCATGATCATTTCTCAGAAAAAGCAACAAATCTACATATGGGATTTCATCCCACTTATTCACTTATTCTGCCTTCTGCAAAACAACATGTTTGAGGAGAGCAGGCGTCCTTGCTTTGTTGTCGGTTGGTCAGTTCATTTCTGAGTGCTCCCCCCTTGCATCCCTCTCTTCTTGKCTCACTTCTTCAATGKGCTCCTTGTTCTTTCTCTCCTCAAGGCCACCTTAGAGACAAGGCTATGTGCATTGTTACAATAGTGATCAGAATCATTAACCCTTATTTGAACAAATCCAAAAATCATTATGTTAAGTCCAMGCCTTTTTGCCATTTATCAATTCCCAATTTCACAATCATTAATTTCCCCTCAAAGTCTTCACATCCATGCTCTTGTCCTAAAAGCAAAATCAATAACAGCGTGATTCTGTAGTGTAGCATGTCTATCTATATCTGTATCTATATCTTATATCTGTATCTATATACCTATATACCTATATATCTATATCTAAATTATAATAACAGTTGTGTAGACTGGGCCAGATAGCCTGGCTCATTGTCCGTTTTAATTTCTCACACACTAAAGCATAATGATTACTTAGCAACTCCCTGCAAAATGAAGCAGCTACAGGGCAATTACTTAAGAGAGAATATTTTCTAGCCAGATAGTGAGACTGGTCATTCTTCCTATGGTCGAGGTGGCCGACAGGCTCCAAGCTTGCGGGCGTCCCCGCAGAGACAACGTAGGTCTCAGTTGGAGTCTCTCCCCGTCTCAGATCCACAATTGTTTTATATCTGGCGTGTCCTGTCACGTAGGGCCCGTACGTGTCAGGAGGCGACCAGGGGGMGGGCAAAGCTCCACCTTTATCATTATGCAACTTTCCCTGGTGTGCGCATACACGGCCACCAGTGAGGGTCTCTGGTCTCRTTACGAGGGTCCTACCTTTATTACCTTCATCTCCCTTGCTTCGTGTTTAACCTGTGAACTAGCTTACAGGTCTGCTCCTCTAGCATTGCAAAGGCAGCTAGAAAGTGACATCGGGCATCACGCTATGACTGCGAATATGTAATATAAAGCAGCATTCAGTTATTTGTTGTACTTCAGACCATAGGTCCAAGAGTGCCGAAAAGAGTGAATGTTAGTGACATCCGTCTGCAAACCTATGTAAAGTAGCATCTGGCACAAAGCATAAGCACTCTGGTGAAGGAAGATGTGAGACAACC